TTTTTTTTTGAGAACCTAAAAATTGCCCCGTTTTAATTTGAAGACTTCTATTACAACCAAATAGTTACCTGAATTCGAAAGCTTTAATTAGGAAGAGGACAAGCACGAATCTTTCCATCACTGCAGATGTATGCTTGAGTGTGTATGCTTGAGTATTGAACCAACATTATAGAAAAAAATTCTCCTAATCACTGTATCTCTGTATAAGCAATGCATTATTTGGGGAAAACAGAAACAAAAACAAAATATATGTTGAGGTACTATGCTATCAGTAGAGACCCGAATGGCTACAATGGTTGTTCATAATAACATTTGTTCTAATTGTTTATGCTGTACTGATTGTGAAACATTTAAATGTAACTCCGGCTCACATAATAATATTATATTCACTGAATTACTTACCTATAACATTTCAATACTTATAAAATTCTAAAGTATATTTTACATCATTATTTTATCAATACAACAACCTTTCAGGACAAAAAAGAATCATTAGAGCCCCATTTTAATAATGATTAACCTAAGATACAGTTACTGCATAATTCTTTGTTACTTATTGACAATATGCTCAAATCCAAAGCTTCTCCTGCTAGTAACAGTGGTTCTGAATAAATTCACCTGAAAGCTGAAACTCACTTCACTTACAAAACAGCATAGTTATTCTTATTAAAATGAAATTCTCATACCATTTGGTGATGCCATAACAATCTTTAATAATATCCTGAAGGACAGCTCGATAGAAGAGTGATTCAGTAGGCAACTGAAAAAAAATGCAGATATGTATAAGCACAAGAAAGCACAAATAAAAAACAGAAATCAAATCAATATTAGAGTCAGCCATGTAAGTGAATGTTAGAAACCTGACTGTTGCAAAACATACAGGACACTTTCATAATTTTCCATTTCAAGTTTCCATAGCCACGTTACCCTGAGGTTAACTCTGAGAAAGTAATTTTCCAAGAAAATAGAAGAAACTATAAAAGAAATAGTAGTGAATGGGGAAGAAAAGGCATAATCAAAGGAAAATGAGTTAATGTCCCAAATGGAGCACTGATCAGTTAAACATGTAGAAATAACATCCACAACCAGCCAAGTCAGCTCTGGAGCCTGTGAGAAAGCAGTCAGGTAGGATACATGCAAAAGAGAAGAGAAGGTGGGTTTGTCCTAATGATGGTGGAATAAAGATAATGTCACCTAGTTCTCATTCCCAGGAAGGAAAGGCACTACCCTAAGTGAGGACATTCTAAAAATATGAGGCTGGAAGGTCCCATCACTGGATACTGTGCAGGTGAAAAGAAGGACCTTGGAAGAGACACAGGATCCAAGAATAAAGTCTTGGCCAGGCTTCATGTCCTGGGGAGACAGAGGTGGGGAGTGTCCACGAAGGGGCAAAGGTTTCCCAAAGGAAAGTAGGAATGCCTGAAGAGATGGACCCCATGAAATAATTTCAAAGAAGTAGGAGGTAAAAAGTTAGTACACCTGGAAGAGCATTTAGGCGAAGCAAGGGAAGAGGTACTCGTACACTAAGAAACTGCAAAGGTCACCAAAACTGGATCCATGTCCCCATAGACCTCTTAATATTGATAGTATAGGAAAATCCAACACAGAATATCAGCAACAATCCTACTTACATGCAATTATTATTGAAAAAAAAAAGAAAAAGCAGCATGGATGGAGGCAAATCCACAATACGGAACATGCTTTTGAGAAGCCAAATTATGTGACATCTAAAACGTATCCAATGACTGGTGAAGTTCAGTGAGTATCCACTCAGATATCCTTTTGTAACTTGCACTCTCTTTCAGAACCTAAAATTGTTATTTTTCTCCTGTTTTCAACCAGAATACATTTAGACTCAGATGGAGTTCAGCACAAAATAAAATTCTGCCTGTGCTCAGGCAGAAAACCTGTTCTAGTGCCCTCTTCCCCAGGTGCCGAGACTAAAAAAAAACACAAGCTGGAGACTGAAGGTCAACCACTATTTCTTGGGTCTTCACTTGACGGCACTGCTTTCTTAAGTAGCTGGAGAATGTCTGACTTGTAGGACGTTGACGGAGCACTTTGAAAGAACACACGTTAAGTCCTTTCTGGGTGGTGGGAGGAGTGGGAAGGGACATTCCAGTAGGAAATGGTGCTAGGAAAACCACAGTCCCTAACTCCACTCCCAAAATAACTCACTGAAGGCAGACAGACACACATACCTGAGTGCCCACAGGAAAATTTATAACCTTCAAAAGGCACACTTCTTGTATAAAAATCTCTTTTCAAATGTAACTCCTTGATTTCAGACAAACTCTACTACTTCTAAACTTTCCTTTCCTGAGACGGACCCAAAACATTTCATTCGAATTTCTCATCTCTGGATAAAATTTTCCATTTGACATTTTTTTCATCTCAGTAGTTCTTTTCTGCAGTACCAAAAGATCTCCATTTTATCATCTGTCCCTCATTCCCCCCCAACCCCCATAGCTCTTCAGCACTTTTACAAAAATGCTGAAATTCCTTTTCAGGTATCAATACTTACTCTTATATTGTTCGACTGCAATTCAAGGCTTTTGGAGAAATATATTACACTAAGCAAAATACTATTATTAGTATTTTAAGTATCTTACAAAGTTATTGACTTTTTATTCAATAGACAGGAACTTTAATTGCATGTGAATTTTATAGGAAATATTTAAAAATATTCGAGCTAGTGTTTAAACTGAGGAAATCTCTGATGTCCCAGTACAAAGTCATGATGCTATTCTGCCTCTCTAATACTTGAGCAGGGATGAGGTGTCATTAATTTATTTTGTATCATTTAGGGAAAAAAAAATCCTCCTAAAAATAAAGCTCTCCTTTCCCATGCCTTTGAGAAAACTTATATATAAATGGTATCAAGATAATTTAGATATAAATGTGTATTTATATGGTTATTAAAAACTGATAGTAGAGAGAACAGAAAAACGTGCAAGAAATACATTTTAAGCAACAGATAATACAGAAATGGAATGCACAGAGAAATACAAACAGGATAGAATAAATCATCATTCCCAAGTTACCCTGAGCAAATAAGAGACTTACAGCTGTTTCCTAAGAGAAAGGGGAGAGAGTTATGAATGACTTCAAATGTGCATTCCTGGACTCACTAGGACTATCCATCCTGGTAATACAGATGGGGGGGGTAAGTGGGAAGGGAGTCAACATCTCCCCAGCGGCCTATGCCTGACTATTCCAGGAATAAACTGGATGTGGCTCAGAGTTTACTTTCTGTCCTTCACAGGTGATAAATCAGCTTAACACTTTAAAGCATTTTAAATGGAAGGAGCAGAAAGAGTACAGCCTTAATGTGTATCTATACGTATTAGACATGCACTTTTTAGGTCTAGTGGAGAGGACACTAAGCTGGAAGTCAGTACTCTGCAATTAATTAGGGGAGCTACAATGCACTATTAAACTGCTGCTGTGTATCATGTTCTTATGTAAGTTTGGGATAATACCCAACTCATAAGATTGACTATAAACATGAGCAGGCACTTGGAAAACTGAAAAATACCAGGGAAATGCATTTGGATATTATTATCATTAAGGCTCTTTCCTCTTTCAGATCCTTAGGGAACCACTAAATTGATAGGCAGTAAAGAGCTTGGGGTCCAGAGTGCGAGATTCAAATCTCAGTAATCACTACTTTCCTCATTGGAGTCATGGGATGATAATAGTATTTATAGTCCTACACATGTGGTACTTTAGGTGATGAAGAAAACTTTGATCAATACTTCAGTAAACACTGTGTTAAAATTAGCTATTATTTTCATGAGCATAATTATTAACTACCTTATGAACAGCAACAATAGCTGACATTTATTGAGCATTTACTGTGTGCTAGACATTGTTTAAAGCATTTTACATTTTTCATTCATTTAATCCTCATAACTCTGTGAGGAAGGTATTTTTATTCTTATTCTTCTTATGGTTATTGTTATTTTACAGAGAAATTAAGCTATAGAGAAATTATGACATTTGTCCAAGGCCCCTAAACCAGTAACTCAAGATATAAACCAGGAGCTTGGGACTCTAGCTCACACAATTACACTATGCTCTAATGCCTTTAAAAAATACATTTCTATCAATTTTTAGATAGGTACAATGAACACATTTTTTAAAATCCCAAAATTCTTAGCATTGTACTTGGCCCAGGCTAAGCAGTCAGTAAATAATGCTTTTTGCTATTATTATTTTTAAATTATTATTTAAAAAATTCAAATTGACACACTAATTTTTGAAAAGAAGCAAAGAGAGTTCTAAAATTTAGGCCCAACAAGAAAAATCTTGTGAAAAGGTTAAGAAGAACTAAAACAAAAACCTGAAAATTCCAAATACATTTAACGCATCACATGATGGAGAATAAAGCAACTACATGGTATTTGGGGATGCATCTAACTCCTGTCCCTGTGTACAAACCCATTTAGCTATTACAACTAAGGACTAATCATGTCAATAAAAAAAACAAGAAACAACCAACTGAATTATGTGTTTTGTACTACAATTAAAAAAAATCAGCTGAATGTATACCTTATTTAACTTCACTTAAACTAAGCCCACAAAGACCCAGACAGTCAGTAACAGCATTCTTCAGAAATATTTATAGACTTTTCAGTATAACATGAAAAAATGAGACATTAACAAAGAATATAATATGTAAGTTTTCCTAAAGAGTAAATTTATTTTTTCTGAAAGTTCATTTCTCTTTTAAGGTAAACTTATGGAAAATGTATAAATCAAAATATAAAGGGATGACAAGGAGAGCTTTTACTTATTAAAATACATCAGGCTTTAAGTTCATCAGCAGGTCAAATATGAAGAGTGCTTTAAGAAAAACTATCATGTTCATCAGTTGGATTAGGTTACTTACCCCTTGGCCAACTGCAACCCGTTCCAGTGCCTTTAAGGAAAAAAAAAACAAAAGACAAAGACTGTTGATATATTTGGTCTTAAAAGACTAATAAAGACATTGTATAAGGGCTTGTAAAAGTGACTTTTAAAAAGATTAATTAAGTGACAACATGTAAGTTTATACACTTAGAAGTGTTAATATCATTAAGGAATTTTAACTGGTATAGTTGGTATAATTTAAGGTGGATTTATAATGGATGTGTGTCATGTACACAAACACATACACTCCCCAACTGTATACAGTCCTTGAATTTTAGAGGAAATTAGAAAATAGGAAGGAAATTACTCAAATTCTTGACTCACTTTTAGTGTAGCTAAAACAAATTCAAAGCTATTTTGCATGTATAAATGTATTTGTATTTTCTAAACTTTTCTTCTAATTTTTTATGAACATACAGTTTCCTCTTTTATTAAACAAAATTATGTTGAAGAGCTGAAACATTAATAAAGTATGTTTATTTTTGGTCTGCATAGTCTGCAATTCACATCAAATTCACGTACGGTCAAGTGCCCAGTAGCAGAGAAAGTAGAACGTATTTTTTAAATTTGATATGTGGCTACTTTTACATTTATATTTATTCAAGATCCAAAACATTTTTATAAAATATTTCCCATTATTTCCAATACTCATAATCCAACACATAAAGATTTGTTGTAATTTAAATATGGAATAGAGCCTTCTGAAACTTTCACTTTTTTAGAGACATATATTTCAAAACTTAGTTTTATAACTGAATTAAGTATTTTGACTGAAATTTTATTTGAAAAATTTTGATCAGAACATATTTCGAACATAGAGAAAAATAGTAGATATAGCAGATATAAGAGATCTGCATATACTTACTGCTCAAATTTAAAATACCCATATTTGCTTCAGACTGCTATGTCCTCATAAATAATTCTTCTTAGATATAACTAAATTATATACTTTCAAGACAGAAAGATAATTTACAGATTATTTTGTGTAAGTGCAATTTTTCAGATGCACAAGGTCACTGAGAGGTAAAGTAACTTTTCATAGCTAGTTAGCATGTGTGCAGGAACTAAAAATCTATTCTTTGAACCCTGGTTTACATCTCAGGCCCTCACACCATGAAGATTCAGTGGGAAAATGAGCTCACTGTATGAAAATTTGCTTCACAGAAATTCAAAAAAAAGATGTGATTTTTTCCATTAACTATAAGGATACTTTGCTGAACATCTAAAGCCAGAGTGTTATGAATACAGGAAAGAGTTTATTATGTAATTCTCATATTGAGTTAAAAGTAACAGGCCAAAAACATGTTTATTACTGAAGAAAACACTGAATTTTTATTTACATACTGGGTGTGCTAATTTCAGATTAGATTTCTGTGTATGGCTTTTGCTAAAAGAAAGAAACAGGAGAGTTCTTAATAAATTATTTTGGGTTAATAAAAATATATAATATGAGACTACTTTCAGTATGTGTTGCTGATGAGTTTATTTGAGAAATACAAATGATAACTTTGATTATATAGTACAATATAATCAGGGAGGTAATAAGCAGTTTCTTGTAAACAATATTTTTCTTGGCCAATAAATAAAGACAATGGAATATTTCATACTAATCTGAAATGCTTTACAGTTTTATCAAGTTTACAGTATGCTGATGAGATTGTGAAAATCTAATTAAAATTTTATTTCTGGTTAGTACCCTTAACAATTTATCTGAAAGCATTGCCAGAAAAGTTTCTCTCTGTCTCTTTTTTATCTTAAACACTTTAAGCCTTGAATATTTCTGGAAACAGTCAGTCATGAAGCAAAAGGCAAAAAAAGAAATGTTCCTTAGACTTTCCAAGATTATTTTAATATCAAAAAAAAGAAGTCAAGGTGCACAGGGACTGGCATGGAGCTAAGGAGAGGGTAATGTCATGGGAAGCTGACACTGGTCAAGTAAAGTTCCTAAGTGCAGCATGTTCTACACAGTCTGTATTTTGGAACTTTTTCAAAACTCTTCTTTGCTGTTCTCTGAGTTCTTTTTTAACAGCAAACATCCTTGTTTTGTGGATACAATATATTCTTTTATCTTTCTAAGAGATATTAATAGTTACTTTATGTCATTTTATTTTGGATAGTCTCCAATCCCTCCAAGTTGCTTTTTTTCTGTTTATCTGATCTCTTTTCTTGTACGATGGATTTCCTTTAGACATCTAGTGCTTCTTGGCTGCCTGCCGATAAGTAAAATGGGAGTATCATAAACCTGATTAGGAGCACTGTGCTTACAGGTGAGAACTATTAATTGTGGGCTTCACCATAAAGGTGAGATGTGTCCTGTTTGTGAAATTCTTGGTAACAGTATCTTAGGGTTTTTCTCTTAGGTGTCAGGTTCACTTCAAGAGACTACTTCAATTTCTGGCCTGGGGGACATAATCCCGGCTGCCAGCTTTCTTAGAACCAGGTCATTCTAAGAATGACCTGCCATTCTAACAAGACCTTGAACAGATACCATTTACAGATATAATGAAAAAACAAGACAATTTCCCAGAAAAGTATTTCAAGATGACTTACAAAAGGAAACTATTTGAGCATAAATAATTTCTAAGATAATTCTAAGATACATGAACTACACATCGGTACACTATTTTTTATATTGTGTAACTGGCATAAAAATAGTGGCCATAGAATACTTAATTTATCTTAGGGTTGGACATTAAATACATGTTTAATCATTTATAATTTAAATTTCAGATAACAAAATCCACTTACACTGTGTAATTTGCAACTACTCCTTTATAAACTAACATAGCACCATAAACAGAGAATAGCATGGGCAAAAGTATTCTAGGTCTAAGGAAATTAGCCAAATAAGGACATAAGGTTCTTTGATAGTTATTTCATATACTAGGTAGCTTGTTTCCCATTCGATTAAAAATTAGGAGACCAAATAATCTACTATAAACAAATACCAACATACCACAGAGCTGTGGATAACATACAGACTAATTCTACACTTAAGATTTAGTAGCTGGTATATTTTATATGATAAAGTAATTATATGTAAAATGTAGTTATACTATAACTTCCCATTATAGTGTAACTATAAATAGCTACCACGTTCCCATTATAGTGTAACTATAAATAGCTACCACGTCGCATGTAGAGTGGATAATGTAAGAAGGGCAAGTCATCTTTCTCTCAAAATTTGCAGTGCACAAAAGCATTAGTAATGAGCGCTATAAAACCTGGCTTTTAATGCATGATATTAGTCAAAAATAATAAATTCTGCAACATCTGGATAAAACTCTTAATCCAAAAATGAGCATAATCATACCAAACATGCTGACATCCTGGCATTACGACCACAGCACCATTTTTCTTCCTTTAAGTATTGGCACATTGGAAATCCCCACTTTTCTTGGGTACATGCTGCAGCTGGGGCAAAAATAAGGATTATTTAAATAAAATGCTTCTTCCTTCATTTAAACTAAATAATGTATGGAGAAAGCAAATCAGTAATTGAGAGAGTCAAATAGTAATTAAACGTGGAGGTGGTAATTGTTAACAGTTCATTTCACTCTGTTAATTGAAAGCATATTAATGCTATGAAAATGGCATTTTCTCAACAATAGCTATTTTGTGTTTGAGCTACAGGTCTGATACCAACCAATTTACCAAAATTGTTTCTCTAAGATTTAGTAAAAGCAACTGAAAATGGAGTACTCTTCATGCTCAGTGTAACTCCAGGAGATGAGTAATGAGATAACTGGGCATTTGTTGCTGACCTGACTTTCTAAAAAAATGATTCACTAAAAATGACATCTGGTAATTCATTATAGAACAATATCGATGCATTCCTAACAATGTTGAAACATCCTTTTTTCCCAACCACTAGGTTCTATGTTCACTTTTCAGAAAAATAACAGCTGTATAGCCTCTTCTCTCTTCATTCTGTTAAGAGGCTGTAATATTTTCAGTTGTGGTCCAATTTGACTCAATTGCATATATGCTTCAAGGAACGACAAAAAATAATATTCACTGCTTAATCCCATATCTCTGCTGTCCAACTCAGCTACAATTAATTTGAAAAATAATTATTTATAATTTGTTTCTAAAGCTTTCTCCTTTACCAATAATTACTTTAAAATATAATCACTTGTGATTTGTTTTTAATAATAAAACATTTTTATTTTATCAAATTTTATGTAAAATTCTTAGAAACAACTGAAAGATGAACATGTGATCATACATAACAAAGTACATAAACATCATACATAAACAAAGTAAAATACTTCCTCTTTGACCTTGAAGTTTATGAACCTGCAAGTTCCTGTGACATTCAGTTGAGAAACTGAAGTGCTTAAGTGAAAAACTGTGCAACTGAAAAAGAAGTACTTAGGGAGATATCAATACTCTTTTATATTTGTCAAAATAAAGCAACTCATTATCTTAACAAATATATATTCAGCATCTGCTGTTTACCTGATACTGTTTGGGATGCTTAACAGATGAGATGACTTGCAGCTTAAGTGAGCAAATTCACTTATTTATAAAAGACAGCAAGTTTACATTTATTTTAAACTGTGGGTCACAGCCAGTGGTGTGGTGAAGTTGGCTCATACTGGCTCCAGAGAAGGTTAACTGTCATCTCTTTCCAATTCAGCATCCTGTGACATCACATTGGTAGCTTGAAATTGGCCAAGCTGGGTATATTTACACCATGGATATCAGGAAATCCATGTTATTAAAATATAAGGGCTTTTTTTCAGGAGCAGAGCCAAACATTTATCATCTTACCACTGGCTGCAACCCACTAATGGGTCATGAAATCAAGTTAGTGAATTATGACCAATATTTTATAAAGTTTGATAAAAAGAGAATAAAAACATTAGCATGCACAGGTACAACACCTTTTGAAGGATGAATATTAACCAAGAAGATAAAAGAGTAAGTACTTTTTTGTAAGAGGTCAGTACCAGTTTTATCTATATATATATATACTAGGTTGTGATGTAAAATGTATTTCTTATTGTGGGTTTGAGTAAAAAAATGTGATCCCACTATTACAAATAAGAGAACAAATATTTTCTCCCACAAACATGTTTTACAACCTTTGTGGTCATCACAGGCTTTGTGGTTAAAGATTACATGCTTAGGAGAGAAATAAAAACTCATATAACTAATAGGTGAATGTTTAGAAGCTTTTTGTTTCTTCTCAAGTAATACCAAAGAGAGGAATTATAATTATGATAACAAAGGAGTCTGAGTTTATATAGAATTAAAATTGAATAAGACCTCTGTCTCACCATGGTAGTGATAGTATGCTTTCCTGTTTTACTTCAGCAGTCTCTGGAATGTAAACCTCTAACTTTCTGTTTCTTATCTTTATGAAGAAGGGCAAAAGCCAGACTAATACTTTAAGAATTCCCAAATTGCTTATGTCAACATTATTTCTTCTCAAGATATCTCATCAAATACCTTTGTTTCCTCCTTAGTTTTAACCAGTGAATCAGTTCTTTCTTAATTTCTAATTTTATTTCATGTTATCCCTTTATTGAATACTTGCCATATGTCACATATTATGGTGAATATTAGGCATTAAAATTTTTTGAGAAGCACCTGTCTTCAAGTTGCTCAGAGTCTATTGTGAGAGATAAATACTAAACTACCCCAATTAAATAATGCAGGGGCTGCTGAAGCAAAGGAACGTATGAAGAGATTGTTGTTCCCCTCCTCCTGGGGGTTTTTGCTCTCATGTTACACTTCTTTATCCCCAAAATCAGGACATAAAAGAGGAAACACAGAGGGAAGGAGGAAGGAAGGAGGAGGAGGGGTAGGAGAGAAGGGAAAAAGCATGTTTTTCAGATGTTAGTGAGCTATTCAACAGTCATGGTTAATGCCTCTCTACCGTGCCTGCTCACCAAACGGCTGAAAAAGTCAAAAGGTCACCTTCCCAGACTCTCTTGCAGCTAGAAATCACCTTGTGAGCTATGTCTAGACAATGAGACGTGACACATTTCTCCACTGGACAGATTTTTTTTTTTTCCTCCTTGACAAAAGGGAAGAATAGCTGAGAAGAAAGCCTCTAGCTCATGCCCACTTCTCATGAAGACATAATGCTTATGACCACTGTCCCCCTGCAGCCCTGACAGTGAAGTCCAGCTGTGAACCCAGCAACCTGCTGTCACCGTCAGGGAACCAAGCCTAGAACTGCTACCTCCTGACTTTTGGTTATGTGACAAAATTAATGACTTCATTGCTATGCCAATGTTAGGTGAATGTGCCAGCATCTACAGCCAGAAGTATTTAAAACTCAGGTTCTGGTTTAGATTCCAGGTATGGCTAACCAGTATTTTCTTTCCTTCCAAGTTGTGGCTCTTCAGAAGTCACATGTCACCTACATTACAGCAGAACTTGGCCCAAAACTTTCTCAGTCTCCTTTCCCTCAAGGCCCATGTGGCCCACACAATTAGAAAATGAACAGATTTAAAAAAAGAAGCTAATTTTGTGGTACAGGCGATAAAAGAAAGATGAAAGGTTAAAGCAGGACATAGCCATTCAGATTGTGTCAATTCAATAAAATCTTAATCCTAATAAAATATCCAGTATCTATATAAAAAGACAGTTCACAAAATATAAATGGGAGGCCACATTTACCTTATAATGATTATCTCTATATTTAATTAACTATAATACCAAATAGAGTCCTTTAAGGATAATGCTGCTCCTAAAGACAAAATGTGAGTATATATGAGCTGGGACACCCAGGGACAACTCACCGCTTTCATATTCCAGACAAAGAAAACAGCACGATGTCACTTCATTTGACTGAGAATAAGTTACAGGGTTTAAAACAAGAGAGAGAAGCAGACATCAGGCAACTGTCTTAACCCAGTGTTCGTGAGGATATCTGCCAATCCCCAAACAGTCTCAGTCGGCCAAATCAACGTCCTACCCAGGTCCTAAACACAGGCTGACCAGCCCTTTCCGTATTTAAGGCGTGCTGTACTTGAAAACAGGTGAGCACTGGAATGAGTCTTAGTTCCATGCTGGCTCTACTCTACACCCAGGCGGCATCAGCACTTGTGTCTCCTGGTGCTCCCCTCCTCGCCCCATGTCGCTCACACAGGGTTGCCGAAGCGTTTTCTCAGGTTCTGGTTTAGATACTGTTGATAAGGCTAGAAACCAGTCCAGAAGGCTACCACATAGGGTAATAGCCCAGCTATTTTTTAATTTAATAGAATCTTCCCAGGAGGACTAATTCTCTCTCTCTATCCCAGTTACTGACTGAAATGTTAAGAGTGTGATTCTAGAGCCAGACTAACTGGGCTAAAATCCTAACTCTTTCACTTATTAACTGTGCAATCTTAGGCAGGTTACTTAGCCTTTCTGTGATTTAGTTTCCTCATCTGAAAATGGATATAATGATCACAATATTACTTAAAGGGGGGATATGAGCAATAATGAAAGTGGAGATGATAACACTGTTGCCTCATACAAGTGTTACAAGAAATAAAGAATTAATAAGGGTACCTAGAATAGTGCTTTACACATAGCATATATTCATTAAAAGATTAGCATTTATTAACATGTTTTTTTTTTGCTTTCTGAATAGCAATGTAGGCAGCTGGCCACCTTCTTTGGGCTGAGTACTTCTGTTGGGTTGGGGATTTCTGATTTATTTCCCATTTCCCAGTTTCGACTCTTAGAATCCCAGCAAATTTTATGGTTGTGAATCACAGGTCCTGTCAATTTCTGCTCTTGGTTACATTGCTGTCCTGCTCAAAAATTCTCATTACCAAAATGGACTTTACATATGAGGTCCTTTTGTATTGACCCCTGCTTTTCTTTTTCCCCTGATAAACATTTCTCTACTACCTATGAATCCGGTTACCACCTAACTGGAGAACTCATACATTTCCAATGAGTCACCTACCACTCCATAACTAAACCCACCCTGTTCCTTATACTTTGAAATGCTCCTCTGCACATCTTTGCCTACCCTACAAAGTGCAATTCAAAAGTTACTGCCTTCATAAAGTTTTTCCTGGTTTCCTAACAGGAAATAATCTTTACATTCTTGCTGGAATAGTTCTTAACATATTCTCCTTTTTATTTTTACCTCTAAGAAATCACTTATAAACCATATATACTTATATATAATTAATAAATCAGATATAATTTTATTTATTGTTGCTATTATTGATGGCTTATTATATATTCATCATATATAAATATAGTTAGTCTCAAGGTAAAAGTTTCATCCAGAAGAGCATTCAGAACAAGACCTTAGATTTACCTGTACTAGATCACAAAGGATCTCAGACCATCTCAGAAGAGGAGTCTGTTCCTTTCTTGTCATTGTTCAGGAGAAGGCAGACAGTACGGAGTGTGCTAATCAAAGACCCAGATGGGTAGGGCTGCTCTGCAATCTT